AGAGCCCACGCCACGGGCCTTTCTAATTAACACGGGAACCGTCCAGCCGCGCGCGCTCGCTCGCGCTCGCTCTGTCTCTCGTCGCTTACGCGCTAGTTATTGAATTATCGTGCTGGATTGTGTCCGCCCCAGCCCCGAATTCTCGCGTCTTCCTTCGGGGAATTGCCCGTGGCGTGTCTTTTTGCGGGACGAATCGTCGCTGGAACTTTGGTAAACTCGATGCGATCATCGGGGATGGAGCGTCGTCCAATAGGCTAAGTGCGTTCGTTGATTTCTGATTAGTAGTTGTAATTACTGAGATGTACGAACGTCACTTTGTTAACCCCTTGAATATTTATTTTTGTTACTAAGCTCGTGTAATATTTTACTATCGATAAGTTGTAAGGAATATAATAAAATTTCCCATTCTACTTGAGGTGGAAATTTTATTTGAAGATAATGCAATGATAATAGCAAAACTGTTAACCCCTTGGCGTAATATTTATTTTCGTTACTGAGCTCGTGTAATATTTTACTATCGACTATTTGTAAGAAATACAAAATTTTTAATTCTACTTCAAGTAGAAATTTTATTTGAAGATAATACAATGATAATAGCAAAACTGTTTGTTAACCCCTTGGCGTAATATTTACTTTCGTTACTAAGCTCGTCTAATATTTTACTATCAACGATTTGTAAGAAATACAAAATTTTGCATTCTACTTGAAGTAGAAATTTTATTTGAAGATGATACATTGATAATAGCAAAATAGTTCGCTTTGATTCAACACGAGTCTCACTCGTTGTTGTAGGACAAGGGGTTAAATTAGTTTAGAAATCTTCATCACGAGTCTCAATCCTCATTGTACAAGGGGTTGACACGTCCCGTGCGCGTAGGGCGTATACGATCCCCGCCGAATTTTCCGTTCAGGCCGAAAATGAATTCTCATTGAAAAACGAAGAACTTTTTCAAAATTTAGTATAGAGTCAAAGGTATTTCAACATCATGTATATTGCGTTTATTTAATTTTAATTGTAAAAGTGAGGGTCGTATACGCTCCATACATCCTTAAGTCTTAAAAAAATTAACAAGAACGTGTTAAGGTAGTATTTAGTATCTTGATAACGGGACAACAATGGTAACAGTTTAATCGAGGAACAGAGGCACACCAGCTACATCATAGCTAACTTTAGAGGAGACGCTCCTCTAGAAACGTTCTATTTATACGAGATTCTTCAGCCGTCTAAGACACGCATTACGCGAAGTATGAAGTCTCGTAAAGAAATCGTAAGGACCCAGAAGACAATGGCGACTCCCCTATTCCTGGTAATCGCGTTGTCACGCGGTAGCGTCTGCGTTTTCAGCGGCGAGAAATAGTGTGTCTTGATCCCGGGACCCCGGAGAACGTTCCGCCAGCTGCCCGAATCGTACAGATTCCCCGTCGACGACGGCGTTCGGACTTTTAATCGTCGGCTAAATATATATCGGGAGGCCGGGGCAGCGCGCGTAACAATGTCGAGCGCATCGCGGGGGCAAACAGCGCGCAGGGCTTCGGCCCCGATTCTTTCTCGCTGTCAATAAAGTTGGCCGGCTGACAATGAGAGGCAACGAGCCCATGGTTGCCTGCTAACTGACCGCGAAATTAACCTCACTTTAGAGAGGTATGCGTGCGCCGCCCGGGGCCCCGGCGCAGCGCGGTGCCACTTCGGCGTTATTTATTAACTGCAACGGCAACCGCGAACGTTGTTTAAATTGGGACAGATTGGCGTGACGTTCCACGGAAACCCCGGGACCGCAAGGGGTCTTGGCTTTCGACGCGATCGCGTCATCGCCGCGGGATCGGCCGAGAGGCGATCATCGGGAGAAGCGTTCCTCGGAATCGAGATCATTGGGGGTATTAGGTCTTTGACGCGGTGGTTCCCTTTTGTGGCTATTGTCGCTTCGTTTGCGATGGGATTGCGTGGTGTTGTTTGTTGTTTTTAGTAGTGTTTACTGGTATTTAGTATTATTTGTTATTTTTTATTAGTGTTTACTGTTATTTAGTATTATTTGTTATTTTTAGTAGTATTTACTGTTATTTTGTATTATTTACTGTTACTTGCTATTATTTGCTATCGTTTACTACTTTTATTATTTACTATTACCTTCTATTACTTGCTATCGTTTACTAGTTTTACCTTAACTTACTATTAACTTCTATTACTTGCTATTATTTACTGTTTTTATTTATTATTCCCATAACTTACTATTACCTTCTATTACTTGCTATTATCTACTGTTTTTATTTATTATTACTGTAACCTACTATTACTTGCTATTACTTGCTACTACTTGCTACTACTTGCTATGACTTGCTATTGTTTACTGTTTCTATTTATTATTACTGTAACATACTATTACTTGCTATTACTTGCTATTACTTGCTATTACTTGCTACTACTTGCTACTACTTGCTACTACTTGCTACTACTTGCTACTACTTGCTACTACTTGCTATTACTTGCTATCATTTACTACTTTTATTATTTACCATTACCTTCCCTTACTAGCTATTATTTACTGTTTTTATTTATTATTACTACAACTTACTATTACCTGCCAGTACTTACTATCATTTATTATTTTCCCTTATTATTTACTACGGCCTGCTCTTCCTTACTATTTTCTATCTATACCGCTTACTATCGCCAACCACAATTCCCAAGAAGACAGACAGATATAATTCCCGTAAAACCCAAAGCACTAATAACAGAGAAACTATCGTTTCAATTTCACTGCAGCATCTTAAGAAATCTCGACGGAGGATCTCGTCACGACACAGTCCAAACAAGGGGAAAGAAATGGAAAAACCTAAGGGAGAGAGATCCCTCCCGAGAGCAACGAGGAGAGATAAGCAGATCCCCCGATGTAGCACGAAAATGAAATTGAAAGCGTGACGGCGACGTTTTCATAGAAATCACCGTCACAAAACCGGCGCGGCGCGGCGCGGCGCCCCAGCGATGTCGCGAGGAAATTGGAACGTCGTCGGACAATCTAATTGACAACAAAGTTAATGCGGTCGCGGGCCAATTTATTCCTCGGCTGCGCGTCGCGTCGCTCCTGTTCGTCATTAGAGGCGGATGCGATAATGATTAATGCGTAAACCGGTTCCGTTTCGAGCGCGCGCCGCGTTCGGAAAAAGGTCCGGCCAAATATGGCCGTCCGCCGGCTTGTAAGTCGAATTAGGCTGCGTTTACATCGCAGCTTCGATGCTCGATAAGAACCTCGACGAGAATCAAGCGTGGAAACATGTTCCATTGTACTGTGGAATTCAGGAGTGAACAGAATTTTCTTACGTGAGTTAAATAGAGAAAGAGTAGTGCAGTTGTTACAGACAACATTGATTCTCTAGGTTTGTTCTATCAAATAGTTGACTGTGGAATTCGGTTGGAAAAATCTCTCGTTTTGCGAGCAATAAACTCGAAAAATGGAGCGCGTACTCGTCGAAGGACGGATGCAAGTAGAGTGGATTTTAATGAAAGATCAAACGAAGAATTACGTGTTTCTGGGAAAAAGTAAAGAATTTATGAAAGAATTCGTATCGTGTCAAGCTTTATGACGTGTATATTCGTCGAACACAGTTAAGCAAACTGTTCCGCTTGTATCAGAGTTTCAGTGTTTATTTGGCAACGTGTGAAGATTAAGCTCTGAAACTTCAACGATAGCTTCTAAGTTAGATCTTCAAAGTTTAGAGGACTCTAGGCTTTGTATTACTAATTACTTTCGTTATAAAGACTGAACAATTGAAAGCATGAGATCACTATAGCTATAAACTTAAAGAAACGTTTACGATGTTACGAGTTTGTGTTATTTGGCAACGTGTGAAGATTAAGCTCTGAAAGTTCAAAAACTTAACATTTAAGTTAGATCTTCGAAGTTTAGAGGACTCTAGGCTTTGTGTTACTAATTACTTTCGTTATAAAGACTGAACAGTTGAAAGCATGAGATCACCATAGCTCTAAAAGTAAAGAAAGTTACCTTGAATATCTTTTGTTAACGCGTTGATCGATGATCTCATCGCAGGCATTCAAGCCGCGATGTAAACGCAGCCTTACGCGTCTCGCGGGACCGATGCGGAGCTTCCGCGAGCGGCCTCTCCGACAATGAATTTCGCTGGATAGTTAATTACCGCCGCGGATCACGGTTAACCGGATTTCAGAAGCAACTTCGGCGAGGTCGGCGGGGCGGAGGCGGCGGCGGCAGTGGAGGCGAAAAAAATCTTGCTCTCTCCGCGCCCTTTGACTCCCGGGCAGGAACGAATTAAAATTAATGGCCGCTCGCGCTTTTTAACGAACTTCCGGAATAGGAAAACGCCCGGAAAATATCCCGCGGAAACGCGGGATGCTTTGGAATTAACTTATCGGAATGCTGCACGCCGCGCTTCATTATGAACCATCAAGAGGAAAATAAATCGGGTTTTTCCGTTCGCCGGTGCTTCCGGTTTCTTCGAGTTCCAGAAAGTTTCGTAATTAGAGCGACGTCGTTATCCGCGGACGGTTATATTTCTTTGGGCATTCGGGATGTGCGACCGGGCGTGCAGATCGACGCGAGGGATTTATGTAAACCGAAACTTGCTGGCGATCTTGAGAAGAGGATTCTGTGCTCGTCTAATGTCTAGGTTTGGTTCGAGGATTGCTCTTTTCAGGAAGAAGATTCTTCGATATATATAGAATATTTAGATGAAGCTAAATTATATATTGATTGCTTGAATATATTGATTGATTGCTTGCTCTAATTTCTGTGTTTATTTCGAGGACTCTTTCGCGGAAGAAGATTCTTTGATATATATAGAATATTTAGTAGATGAATTAAATTATGTATTGATTGCTTGAATATATTGAGTGATCGCTTGCTATAATTTCTATGTTTGTTTCGAGGATAGCTGTTTTGCGGAAGAAGATTCTTTGATATATATAGAATCTTTAGTAAATGAAGCTAAATTATATATTGATTGCTTAAATAATAGAAGAAACTACTCACCGATCTGCTGTTTGAGTAATTAAATCATCTGTTTGCGACTTGGTGTTCCAAATATGTTTTATCTCTCGAAATGTCGGCATTCACCTGCAAAGGGTTAGCAATTAATAGATAAAAGAGCTTTATTTTTCAAAATATGTTATTTTCAAACGGAACACCTTTCTCATTCAATGAAACAAGATTCCTAATCACAAAGATACTCTCGTCAAACATCTTAAATCAGTCTCGAAACATCTATACACCCGCATCAGGATCCAATCGAATAATCACCAGTCCACTCGTATTCAAGTCTACTCCATCCCCTAACTTGCTCGGCAGGTTTAGGCGACATTAATCCTTCCTCAGACCACGTGACCTTGCGCGTTCCGCAGCCGGCCGTGGTCCGAGGCTCGTTTAATTAACTTTCTCACGAATTTACGAGATTACCGGGCGCGCATTCCGACGAGCTCGATCAGCGGGATCGATATACGCGAGCCGGTGTACATTAAGCCGACCATCAGGGATAAGATTCGAAGCGGTCAGCGCATATTGTTCTCCAGGTCATGTTAAAACTACGAGAGAGAGAGAGGGAGAGAGGAAGAGAGAACAACAGAAAGGGGAAGAGAGAAAGAGAGAGGAAGAGGAAGGAAAGTAGAGAGAGAGAGAAGAGGTAGGCAGGAGGATAGACATGCACAAATGAAGAGCAAGAGAGAGAGAGGGAGAGGGAAAG